CATTCTGTGATTCTATGATTTATACAGCTATTTTGCCATTGAGATTGCCTCTCAAATAGATACAGTTAGAATGTTTCACTTGCCTTGTTTGCCATATTCTTTAGACTCTGGGCAGCCTCAAAAACTCTCCTGAGATCTGCACTTCTAAAATACTCCTCAAAGATACTGAACGGAGTCCTCGCAAACACGGAGCAGCTTCCCATTGCTTGTCTGTTGTTTTGGTTTTGCTTTAAAAATGTATGGTTTTATTTGCAAAGCAAGGTGACACAGCTTTCTGTGGAGTATTTAAGATGACAAGGGGAGATGACTTGAACAAAGTCAGCATTTTAATAATTCAGTGTACTATGTCCAGAAGCTGCACACCTGAGGATAACTAACATAGCTCAGGTTTCAGCTCTGCTAAACCGAAACAGCTTACACAGAGCCAAAGCTGTTGAAAAACTGTAATGTGGTTAGTCCAGTCCCTGCCCATCACCCTTGTATAAATCATGATCTCAATGCCCAGCAGCAGGAGCCAAAGCCAGGCTTCAAAAATCCTTCTTTTGGCACCTCTTCAAGTATCGTCACATCAAAGCGCTGAGCACGCAACAACCCCTCAGTGAGGTCAGGAGCGTACAAACCCCAAGCAGAGGATGAGCACTGCATTTACTGCCTATTACTGAGGTTTGGGGCAGCATTTGTTTTCAACACGTTTGAAAAGCCGAGCTCAGGCAGCATGTCATGATTCCCACCCCAGGCCACTCTGAGCACATCAGCGGTGCAGCCAAGACACCACCATCTTTAGCAACAAACATCCCCTGAACCGTGAAACACAAAAATGTTACCTCATTAAGCCAAGGTTAAAAGAAAACGATCACCAAAGCCCCCCTGTAAATTTTCAGTTACTTTGTTTTAACCTGTTTCGGTTTTTTCCAACAGCTTTTCTAAAACACTAAGTTCCATTTTCGCCAGACAGACACCAGGCACACAACAAGGTATTTTCCTCATATCCAAGTTTTCCTTACCAGAATCTGGAAGTTTATTTATCAGCATGGTGTGCATTGCCATGATGTTTGGCCCTGTGAAGCACTCGACGTATCTGAGGACCTACAGGGAAGAAAACATTAGGAAAAAAATATTAGAAACATGAAAGACAAGAGGAAAGACAGCTGAGGAAGCACTGGGACGTGGGCGTTTGGCCGAGGATCAGGGTACAGGAGGAGGAAGTCGGGCTGGAAGGATACAGGGCAGGAGGCACACGGCACAGCACACAGACGGGCATGGTAGTAGGAGGCCGAGATGGTCCACAAAGCTGGACCTGCCCAGGGAGCAGATGCTCTGCCCAGATAAAAGAGTTCAGAAGATGCTGCTGTCCCAGCAGCCTGGCACGGTTTGGGCTAGTCGCATCCCTGACCAGCTCCACACTGCAGGAGCGGAGAAGCGTTGCTTTAAGTCTTCTGCCCTGACTACCATCCACCCCATGTTCTTGCAGAACACTCTTAAAAGATGCCATGATATTCCTTCCTTGCATGAGTACTTATGGGAGTGACGTACAGGGGCTCTAAGGGATACAGCTCTAGTGGAACCAAAAAGAAGCTTCTTTGCACAGACATTAAACTACAGATTTATGGTTCCCCCACCCCCCTTTTTGCTAGTTTATTTTTCATTTTAGATATCATAGAAAGATTTGGGTTGGAAGGGACCTTAAAGATCATCTAGTTCCAACTCCCCTGCCATGGGCAGGGACACCTTCCACTAGACCAGGTTGCTCCAAGCCTCATCCAGCCTGGCCTTGAACACTTCCAGGGATGGGGCATCCACAGCTTCTCTGGGCAACCTGTCCCAGTGCCTCCCCACCCTCTCCGTGAAGAACTTCTTCCTGATATCTAATTAAGCCTCCCCACTTGCAGTTTAAACCCGTTACCCCTTGTTCTGTCACCGCAGGCCCCTTTTACCTCTGGCAGTGTACAGTATCTGAACAGCTCTTTATCTTCCTGGAAGTCCTGCACTTTATTAACTATTTTTTCAGACTGACCATACTGGGCTCTCAGGGATTCGTCCTTCATAATCATGAGACCTGGTAGATTGACCTCTTTTTTACAGATCCTCGTGAACTCCTTCCTGCAAAGCAGAGGGAACATCCACGTTGGGAGAATCCAGCTTCATCCAGTTTCCCAGAGCTTCCTGGGGATGCAGCTGCACACAGGACTCCCCAGCACCTTGGGCAAGTTCCCCCTACCTGAAACGCTCAATGTCTTCATCAGAAACGAGCTTCTTAACAAGCAGATACCCGTTGTCTTCATAGAACTGCCTCTGCTCTGTGGTGAGGACATCGCTCTCCAGGGTGTAACTGAGACACAGAGGACAAACACGTTAGTAGGGCCAGGCAGGACAACAGGAGCAGCGTGACCCAGCAGGAGGATGGTGACATGCAGGGGGGATCAGTGGCTGCTGGGGAAAACCCCTGCCCTCTTTCACGTCACCGTGGCTCGGCAGGCATGCAGCGTGTCCCACGCCCCAGCAGAGCCGGCACAGCGTGTCCCTGGCTGCGCAGCATCTCTGCCCACAGCCACCCACTACTTCTGTGGCAGAATTCCAAGCCTCCCCCTCGTGCCCTCCCAAAGTGAAGAAGCAAGCAGGAAAGGTGGGATCAGCCCTCAGCAGCTTTACTCTTCAGAGATACTGAAGCACACCGGAAGAGTCTCTGCAGGCTGGTTATCCACTCAGACATTTTCAAGATGCACAGTTAAGCTTTTTCATTAAACTACGAAGTTATACACTTGGAAAACGAAAGGCCGCAGGATGTCTGGTGTTCGACAGGCATGCTAGGGCCAAAGAAAGAATTGAGTTCTGCAGGTGAGGTTTTTTTCTCTCTACAAAGGAAGATAGAGCTTACCGAAACCTCCCCGGCTGAGGAACAGCACTAACTTGGGCTGAAGTAGGAACGCTTGTCTGGGATGGAAATTAAGGAATATACTCAAGCACAACAGAGTAGAACATTACACATACATGCACCCTGAATCCTACAGTGTGGTTCATCTCTAAGGTAAGTTTTATGCTGGACATTCAATCCATGTTCTTGTTGACTTTGCTTCTAAAAAGTACCTTTCCCACCTTCAGAGCAGCACATCTGGCAGAGAAGTATAAGGTAACAGCACAGTACAGCCTCGTACTGACTTTCCTCTCTGCGTGGGCAAGACGTCTGGGACTCCAGAGTAGCCCACGGGCCTCGATTCATCCCCCAGAACATCAAGACACTCAACGAGATGCTCAGCGGAGATGTTTCCTTGCCCCATTTCCCTCCCCATGCTCCAGAGAGCAGTCAGACCTAACCAAAACCCACGCGGTCTTCTGAAAGTACTTCTCCACCTCTCCCCTCCTAACAGTGGCATGCCAAATTCGGAGCCAGAAGTCATACGGGGTGAACTGGGATTGCACGTTCCCATGCGGTGGTGCAAAGCCTCACCTTCCCTCCAGTTACAGCAGAAATTAGGTCGCTCCCCGGGGAGAGCGCAGAGAGCTGCAGGCTTGTCCTCCACCCCAACTCCTTTTAGCAGGTTTAAACAAACACAGCCGAGTTCTCCTGTGCAGAGAGAGGCACTCTCATCTGCAGAGCAATTAAACCCCACTCGCTAACGAAGCCTCACAAGAGCTTGGTGCACGGCACTGAAGCGTCACCCAGGGGCAAGGACATCTGGGTCTGCACAGGCATGTTTGGAGCCCCCTGTGCTTCGGGGTTTTATATACGCCGAAGACTTTCCTCTCTGGCTCGCCGCTACCTTTAAAACGCGCCGTGAAAGCAGGCGCGCTTCTGCAACGACGGATAGGCTTCATCACGACAGCCGTGTCTACACTCCCTATGCCAGGAAGCTTAAACATTACCTGGTCAGGAGTCACATACCGCGGGCGAAGAAACGTGACACAGGGGTGTAGCAAAACCAATGAGCCACAGGGAGGAAAAGGCACTGAGAGATGGCTGGAAAGGAGAAGGAAGGAGAAGGACATGGGGAGAGCGGGTGGGAACCACCAAAGCGGTCCCAGAGCAAGGGATCCCGCAGCCGAGGGCATTACTGCTCCACACAGCCCATTTCAGGTCCATTTTCAGTGAAAATGGTGCTCCTGGCCACTCAGACTCCTCAATGGCCAGAGACGGCTGATGGAGACGGCAGCAGAGAGGAGGAAAAGTGACTGTCCTACCCCAATCACCAAAGCCAGAGATTCAAACAGAACCAGTGCACTGATGTATCAAATAACTCTGTTCTTCTCAGACGCTGTCGTTTACTTTATCCACACGCCTTTCTTGCTCCAGCCCAGCTCAGTCGTATTTTTGGCCAAAGCTCTTTGCATCAGGACCATTGTAGCCGGATTTAAAACCCAAACAGCTAGTGCAGCACCCCTCCTTACCCACTCTCTCTTTACAACCAGGGCACATCTTCCCAGCATTTATTTCCAGTTTGTGTTCCTACTTGCACCTTTGTCTTACGGAGTCAACGCCCGACCATCTGTCTCCATGTTTTCAATGTATGTGATGGCTCCTACACCCTGATCACTTTGCCAACTGACTGTGATTCAGAGTAACTTGTCAGCATTCAGCTCTCACTGAGAATCCGCAGCATTTAAGGTTTTTTTAATTATTATTATTATTATTTTCCAAAGCAACATTTAGGGCAGCAGCTTTAAAAACCCTGTCAGCGAGCGGTCCTCATTCAACTTCTAGAAACACGGCACAGACCAATGTGAACACTTTCTTCTGCCCCAGTTCCCTTTCTCTGACCTATTATAAAACTGCCAGCTCCAGCTCGTTTCCCACTCACAAACCACTCACGGGTTTCCTGCTGCTGGTTTACCGGACAAGCCCGTGTCTCCCAAAGGCTAGGACTCGCGGTGCAATTCTAAGTCTCCGGGAACCCCCGGAGCCCACAGGAACGCGCTGGGGCCGGGGGAAGCAGAGCCCTGATCCCAACGGGGCCGAGGCCCTGCCGCCTTCCCCCCTCCACG